CCCCTTATACATACAGTCATGTACATTTACGGCTCATTATCCACATCTCCTTTACATCTCTGTTGCTCTTTGATAACTGGCTACTGACATCCTCTTTTCGCCACAGAGTTACTGTTGCTGTGGCTACTCTTCTCATTCCCCTCCTAACCCCCTGTTTATCCGTATCGCCGTGGTTGGCTATCACCAGTCCTATTCTCTTCACATTGACCGGTGTTTACAATGAGTCGTGAGATGTTTCAATACACAATAACAAAATGAAGTCAGCACAAAGTCACATACTAAGTAGTTGATACATTGCATCACGTGACACTGCCCAGCAACCCCGCTACCAAACTGAGCGCCTACAGGCTTCACCTCACCGGCACAGCTCAATAGCACATACACGCCCTTTGTAGTCCCCTATGTCTTGATGTTGTTAATGTTGCTCTCTTCCATTCTATGTAGGCATACATGTTTGTGCACTTTCATAAAAATAAAAAAAATAAAAACTGACAGAGCCCTCGCTCCTTTGAAGTTGGGTCGAATTGGGTGTGAAATGACAGCGGTATAGAGCGATTATGCATTGGTTCTTGAACTATTCATAGCAAAGAGGGAACCAGTGGGGCACAAGTTATGCGTCATAATTCACAAACTAGACCAGCATCTTGAACAGTCAGACGTACATGCACATAACTTGTGCCCCACTGTTTTCCATGTTTTCAATTAATATGTCCTTGGCTCATCACCTGGGCCATCAAGATCAGGAAATTTGGCCAACTGGCTATGGATCATTTCTCTCCGAAACTCAATACAATGAAAACCTGGTTTAAGCGACCACCCCTTGGGACCAGAGAAAGCGGTCTTTAGTGACAGATGGTCTTGAGTTAGAGGTTTGCACCGCACAACCATAATGTGAGACCGTTCGTGCCTGGCGAAGTGGTCTGTAATACCAGGCTGGTCGCTAGTCACGGTGGTCTTTAGTCACAGGTTTTACTGCAGTACCAGGCTGGTCGCTAGACACGGTGGTCTTTAGTTACAGGTTTTACTGCAGTACCAGGCTGGTCGCTAGACACGGTGGTCTTTAGTTACAGGTTTTACTGTAGTACCAGGCTGGTTGCTAGACACGGTGGTCTTTAGTTACAGGTTTTACTGTAGTACCAGGCTGGTCGCTAGACACGGTGGTCTTTAGTTACAGGTTTTACTGCAGTACCAGGCTGGTCGCTAGACACGGTGGTCTTTAGTTACAGGTTTTACTACACTTGAAACAGTGGAAAGGGGAGCAAAGAAGAAGTAGGTAAGCGGCCTGATTTGGTAATGCTTAATTTAAAAAAAGACAATCCATGCTCTGGCACCGACTCAAACATGAAAACGGCCCACTGTGTCAGATGAGTAGGACTACCTGTTCACGTACGATGGAAAGAAAGCCTGTCATCTCTACTTCTGTGCGCACAAGTACGAAACACAAAGTCTCGTTTGATTGATTGATTTTATTTGGATTCGCGAGACCAAGCGTGCAGGAGTGCTCTATAACAGGGTAGCGAATGGTTGAGCTGTGCTATGTGACAATGTAGTGTGTGCGTGGGGTGGTGGTGTGTGTGGGGGGGGGGGGGCTGTTATGCCATAGTTGTGGCTAGAGCGAAAGTGAGATCTTTTTTCACACGAGCTAGAGGGCCAAAAAAACTAAAAACGCTAGCGTCTATTTAATACGCAGCAGCTCAATGATTTAGGAACACAGCACATGCACTCCATCTAAAGGGTTTGTCCGCATAGAAAAACAGGAGAGGCATTGACATGGCTTCAACTGCAAAGACCGTGATGCGATTGGATGAGCAACGTGTGTTACCCATCATTGGCGGAGCGCGGCAGTTGTGGATGGCAATTGGCCGATAGAGACTACTAGTATACGTACAAATCACACTGACCGTTTGATTTCCTCAGGCTGCTTGCGAGATATATAATTATGTACATGTAGCCACATGAAGGCCCCAGAAACCACAACACAGATTTGTAGTGGGTGATGAGAAGGCGCTCGACTTCTGAAGGAGAGTGTGAGGGGCACTTTACACTCTTCAGTCTACACAATCTGCGGACAGAACTGCTTCGTCCACTCTTTAGTCTAGATACAAGTACCTGTAGATTTCGCATAGAAATGAGTTATGAAGCAACAATCCACGACTAAAACAAGATGATAAGCCGTCAGAAATCGAGATATACAGGGCACAAAACTGGCAAAATTGGAGATGTGTAAGAGCTAGGTCTCAGGTTGTTGAATGTCTCAGTAGCCTGTTAGATTTGTGCCCTGTTTATCGCACTCTCTGACTGCTTATTATCTTGTTACAGTCGTGGATAGTTGCTCCATAACTCGTTTCCGTATGATTTCTTCTGTACTTGTATTTGATGTGGTTTTAACTGTTTTCTTTCATCATGATGCATGGGTTTGGTCTGTCGTGGAGGGATTTTCAGGAAGCCGTTGCTTCGTGTTACGGTTGGTGGCTGGAGAATACACCAGGCGTTCTACAGACATTGTACATGTACATGTTTACGGACAAGAGGTTTCTGCGGAGCACCAGTTTTGTTGTATTCGTGGAGGATTTCCCACCCTCGGAAGTAACGAGGTTCGGGATCTTCTGGCGGAGACATTAGCCACGACCTGTTCAGTCGCCACGGAGCGGATGATTACTACACTCACCAGCCAGTCACATCATTATCGCACAGCGAATGTCAACGAGAATGCCAAATTTGATGTGAGCTCTGGGGAGTTTTGAGAGCCGTTGGGAGAAGACTGTTTGGTTCTTTATTTCGGGGCTTTTCCGACGTGGGCAACATACAATGTGCCGGCGGATCGTGTCCTGGGATTAACTGTAGGGACAGTCTGAAGTTACAGTCCAACTGGAACTGGAATCAAAGGTATTGTTTAGTGAAAAAGAAACACAGCCTTAAACTCTTTGACAGCGAGATGGCACCATGATCTTGGCTACCACAACTACAGCAGCCATCAGATTAGTATAGGCATGATCGTGTACATGTATATGACTTGAACTACAGTGCAGCTCTAATAAGGCATCATTGGCCATTGCGTCGAATTCCTGGAATTGGAACTACAGCACAGCGCTCCTGCCTTCCGGATGACCCCCAGACTTTGCTTTCTTCATACCATTGAGTGACATGATCCCCGGAGCGTTCTCTGAGCTTGCAACTCTCGATGACCTTGTAATTTGATCTCCGAACTCCGACGACGACAACTCCATAGTCTGATTGTCATAGCATGTCAAACTCCTCACACGACTGGTCGCATGTCAAGCAAACATCCATTGACAACTCTTGTCATTCGCGAATAGGACACGCTCCTTGGCAGAAAACGAAACGGCTCGTAGCGCAGCGCTGGTAAACGTGTAGCTAGCTAGCGTGCAAGCTAGAAGTCAGTTCCAATTTGGTAAGAGCCTACATTATCCTACATTTTCCAATCCCCCCCCCCCCCCCTGACCAAACAAGTCTAAATACTCTATGACTTGTTTCTAATACTCTATGACTTGTTTCTGTGTGTATGTGTGGGAGAGGGGAGGGGGCAAACAAATTCATACGCCTCAACCACGCGGTCATCTTCTTGCTTTTGGCCGAAATTGTTTGTACCCGGAGTACGATACTGGCTGTGAATTTCTAGAGTGAAGTGCGTCGTTCAAACAACAAGCTATGGAAATACACTACGTCTGGGGCGCCTGTTGGACATTAAAACCCCTTCAGTCTTAGTGTTTGAATGTCGTAGTATAATGTGCATGTACATGTAGATCCAGAATACGGTACATGTACGAGTACATGTACCGGGACATGTACAGACACATGTACATGTACATAGCGGACTCAGCGGAGGACGTTCAGGTTGGTTGTAACGCTGAGTTTCATGTCCAAAGCAATCATCAGACAACTAAGGACATGTAAGTGTACAATCATGTACATGTATGCTAGACACCGGCCGTTGTAGAGCAGAAAACCATCATTGCTGACTATATTTTCACAGAACATGCAGCGTATAATGATGGGCTAGTATTTCTTTAGTCTGTGCGCAGTGGGTACGGTTAAACCTCTCTCCCCCCCCCCCCCCCCCACCCTTCCATCTGTTTCAGACGTTGTCTGTCAACAAGACAAGGTAGAGAAGACAACAACTAGCCAGTACTGGAAAATGATCGACAGGTCACGCAGTGCTGCGCGTCGCAAGATCGTGACAACTCGACGCCCGACTGACACATTCTTGGCAAGGTCCATTTCTCCCGACAAAATGAACTTTGCTCATGTCCTAGTAATGATTATCCGAAGATGGAACTAATTTCCGAATAATTATGCCTCTCTCGCCAGTCGATTCTCTGCAGTCTAGAATCTTCCATGACGGATAGAAGTGTGTCAGTAAAACGATGTCAATGGAGAAAACATTATGTCACATGTGCCATGTACAAGTACATAATACATGTAATAGTTTTCCAAGTGAGGTTCATGTTCATGTACTTACATGTACATGTACATGTAAGCGTGTGACGCTCCTATCTGATATGACAGCAGAATGTGACGGTATGCGTAGTTTTCTCCAAGCCGAAGGAAACACAAGTCACTCAACTAAATTTAATAACTACTTGCCTTGTTCTGGCAATTAGACGATGATGTCATAACACCTGACTAACCATTCTTTCCGCCTTTCGTACAATACATCAGTAATACAATTTGCGCTGGCTATGTCTCCACGTACATGTACATGTATGCCGTGTAGCGCAACAATGCAGATTGAAAAGTCGTTCACACGACTCCCGAGCTGCATCTCCTTCGCTTGCGCATTCTTGCAGTGGGGTGTGCGAGAGGAACGTTATGGGCTGGAGGCGCTATCAGATGTTTCCAAGTCCGGCCAGTGGCACTCTGGAGTAGAGCAAAACTGACACTTGCATGTTGTCACACTGTACTGGGCATGGGGCCAGCCTTGTATGAGGTACTATTACATGTATCATGAATTGGCCGTAATTCCGCGTTCACGTGCCTTGTCTAGCTGTGCCACGCATATGGTGTACAGCCGGGTCAAGCTCACTCCGTCCACTTCTTACTAGTACATGTATGTACAATGTAGGAGGCAATCCGTTGGGAGACAAAAAAAGAGAGCTTGGGTCTATTTTCAGTAGCTTGAGTCTTGAGAGGCAATTCTCCGCAATGCGCACGTGCCAACTGTTCATACAAAGATGCCTGCACGTGGTACTTTGATCCAAGGCACGGCAATTACATTATGTACATGTGCTCGGAATATATTTGTACCAGCAGTTTCTCCTGTTCAAGGTGACGCACTCTCCTCTGCTCAAAGACAAGGCCAGAAGTGATCGCTTTGCCAGAAGAGTAGACACAGCAGTTGGAGATTGTTTTCCAAAACGACGGCTCGCGTCCGTTGTGTTTGCTTTCAAGTAGAGAGTGCTTAGTACCGGTGATCTCACCATCATCAGCTACCTCCATGACAGGTACGGAGCATTTCCATAGCCGAAGTCCGACTGCCTTGTCTAAACGAATGTCGATACGTCGCGAGCTACCCTTGTCCAGGCTGCTTCGCTTCAACCTCTCCGAACTTTGGCCCAGATCTACCCATTCCGGACAGGAAACGTGCTGCAGGGGATAGATACCTCTGTAAAGTGAGTACTGAGTGAAATTGTAACTCCCGGTGACAGATTAATCCAACCGTGACTGTGAGAACGCTCTACCACACAATATTGGTGAATTATTTCGCTGATATTGCCAAACTCCACTCCCAACATCAAGTCTCGTTCGGTGGGGGAAAGCAACACGAAAGGTGCGTCATTCAAGGCATTCTCATTTCTTTGAGAAGAATCCTCCATTACTGGCATTTGTGGCTGACGTGATAAAAGAACAATCATGCAAACTCAGCTTCCATCACTCGCACGAATGAGTACTGATTTTGACGGGAATGTGCCACTAGCAGAGAACACATCGGCTGATGTCCATCAACACATTACTACTGTCACCACTGGGCGAGGGCTTGGCCATGCGAACGTGTCACAAAGGTTTCTGGGTCTCGTGCTGAGCGACCCAGTCAAATTGCAGGAACTCTACTCGTTTGCCAAGAAGAGAGAGCTACACTCCAGGTCGAGACGTAGACGGGAACGCAAGCATCCATCTCTGAGTCGCAAAGATGCCAGCCGCCACAAATCGAATAGCCACCCTGATGCTGGGACCGTGACCAGCCTGAGAACAGAGCCTCGACCTCCGCCTGGCCGTAAATCGCGTTCTCGGAGCACGTGCCCAAGGCAGCAGCGACTGTCATCTGAGATCCTACCAACACTCCAGTCTGAGTCAGGCAGTGACAATACAGTGCACGCGGCTGGAATGTATTCATGGCAGCCACTTGAACATGACGTGCGCGCAGGGGCCATGGCAGATGAGCCAGCAGCAGCAGACGCGATCGTCCAAACCACTACCAGTTCTCTAGCTGAGCTGTTGGAGGTCTCGCAGGGGAGATTGGGAGTTTCACCTGCTGATGCTGCATATTGTGGTAGGTGCTAAGTCCTTAGTTATGTGTACTTGTAGTATCAATAAAACTTTTTCATTAAATAAAAGGACTATTAAAAGGGGCTAGCTTAATTTTAAGAATGATTCATGCATTATAATTGAATGGAAGTGTTTACAAGTGATGTAAGCGAATAATTATTATCTGTGCTGTTAATTCCTCTCATGTATTATTCGTCCGCTGCGTTTCTGTGCTGGTCAGTATAATTCTAGTTCGTAATATCGAGCTAGGACTGATGTTCTAGATTATTGCATGATTATTGTGCCCGCACATGCAGCTGTGCTGTAAATCGTCTGGTCGTCACGTGCATGATGTCTAGATGAAATCGGGAATACTATGGTTTTGTAGTGCATGGCTGTACAGGGCAGTGTTTAATGCATCGTCCGTTACTGCTAGCAAAGCAGATTCCAAGCCTCTTCTAGGGGTAACAATTAACACAATGGATTAAAATGCAAGACAACATGCACTCGAGAAGAGATCAGGAACATTATTCCCATCACAGTATCCCCCCCCCCCCCTCCCTCTCTCTGTACTTGTAGGATAGCTGTAGTCACATGCATTCCGTGCCATGGAATCATAAAGCAATGGTAGTTTATAGAGCGCAAATCAATTGGGCAGTTTATTATGCTACACATCTGTTCTACAAAAAGCATAGCAATAGACTTGCATGTATGCATGACGTGCATATACATGTACATGTACATGTCTTGGTATACACTGCCATGCAGAAAACCTGTAACTAAAGACCACCGTGACTAGCGGCCAGCCTGGTTCTAAAGACCATTTCGCCATTCACGGACGGTCTCACATTCATACATGGTTGGGCGGTGCAAACCTCTAACTAAGGACCACCTGCCATTAAAGACCGCTTTCGCTGGCCTCTAGGGGTGGTCGTTAGTCACAGGGTTTACTGTACATGTATTCCGAAACAGGGTAGTCTACAATAGTAGTGCTGTAGTGCGTGATCTCTAGATTATTGCCCTTTGCCTGGCCTGTTGCTTGTGGAGCGCTGATTACAACGAAACACAACATCCCTTTCCTGTGCTGTTATGTCTCTGAGGGTCAGCGATGTTGTCTGATAATTCCCCAAAACACGTGACTTTAAAATTACCAACTTTGTTGTTAATTAATTGAGCCTCTAGGTCCAAAAGGGGGCTTATGGACTTTTGAGCATTTTTTTAGTTATCTATACCATGACATTGCTGTGTCCCAGCGCATCACTCTGTTAAAACCTAGGTCCGAAATCTTTATCTTTCACAGAGCTATGGGTTTTTCAATAAGTCAATTACACACTGTGCATCGCTTTATCCGGGAAACTCAGCTTTCAAATGCATTTTAAAAAAAGAGAGAGGACTCATAGTTAACATGCCTTGTTTGTCCTACACTTACAAGTATGCCAGGATACTGGTGAGTCAGAACATGAGTGCAACACTGACTGATGTGATACGGAGTCGGAATATTCCACGGCCTGAAGTTTACCCGCATCACGTCGCCATCTTGATAATATCCGATACTATTCACGTTACTTTTAGTTTGTAGGAGGGAAGCTTCACGACATTCCAGGTCAGAATTTGATAGCTTGCCACAGGCAACTCTAGACACCTGTATAAAGTTGTCACAGACGCGTCAGAGAGTGACCGTAACTCGGAGACTCCCTGGATTTAGGCTTAGGCCTGTGGAGAATCGATGAAAACTAATACATTAAAAAAATCTTCACCACTCCCAGTTCGTTCCGTGAAGAGCATTTACTGCACCATCTAGAGGTTATGTACAAGGAGGAACTGGTCAACTGACGTTCCATCTATTAGTTTGCTATTTTACTCTGCGTCAGAATGCCGATTTCCAAGTTTGTTGAGTCTTGTCAAATAATGATATGTTGGGGCCAGACACCTCCTCTATTCATGATCTCGAGATTACACTGGAAAATTCCTCTCGCCTGAAATCCCTGTAACATTTCATGTCCTTGATTGTACATGATAATAAGCTACAACTGTGCAAGGTGAAGTCCGACATGATGAAGTACAAACTTGTTAACATTCATCATCCCGCCCCCCCTCCCCGGGATGTTTTTTACATTGAACACAACCCTACCAAGGAAGAATTTGACAGGAAACAGGAAGGAGCAGTGACATAAAACTAAACAAAGGTAATGGTAGGGGCCCACCATGAGCCATGGTGGCTGTGCCAGTAGGATGCAAGCACGCTCAGCAGACAGACCCGTCTCGGCTTTATTGCCAAGCCCGCGCACTGAAGATAGAGAGAACAGGGGGAAATAGGAAACAGCGGAGAGGAATGAAAAGAAAAGAGGAACGGGAAAGAGTGCGAATGTTGCTGGACGGACACAAATACTGTACAAGACTATACACTGACGCATTCGCAACTGGGCCATTGGGACCTCAAGCTTTGTGCTGGGGTAGCAAATTCGACTGGGATCAGATGTGGGGAGCCTTCAGAAAGAGCCACGGCACGGCGAAACCATTCAATGATTTTGGAGCTAGAATAGTTACCGGATTGCAGTTAGAGAATAAGTTCGTACTAGAGGGAAATGGCCAGAACGATGACGGATGAGACAGAAATGGTGACAGACGTCCACAGCCAGATGACAATAGTTCGCTGCAGCAGCAGTAAATGAGTCATCATTGGCATTACTGTCATGTGAAGCAGCACTTGCAAGAATGTACTGGTCACTCAACCTGTTCACTGAGCAGCGATGCCTAGCCAAGACGAATTGTCCCAGACTAGCATCTATGTGTGCTAGAATCATCATGATCTGTCAAAGTAATAATGAATGACTTATTGGGCGTACAGGATGAACTTCATTCACTACATTGTGTGTGTGTGTGTGTGTGTGTGTGTGTGTGTGTGTGTGTGTGTGTGTGTGTGTGTGTGTGTGTGTGTGTGTGTGTGTGTGTGTGTGTGTGTGTGTGAGAGAGAGAGAGAGAGAGAGAGAGAGAGAGAGAGAGAGAGAGAGAGAGAGAGAGAGAGAGAGAGAGAGAGAGAGAGAGAGAGAGAGAGAGAGAGAGAGAAAGAGAGAGAGAGAGAGTTATGAGCAACAATATGTAAAATTTACATTGATGAAGAGTCGTATTGCTCATGTTTTTTTCACGCCCTTCACTGAAGACATGACTGGGCAAGTGGCTGGAAATACACACCTGCCCGTATACCGCAAATCTCCAAGGTAGCACAGAAATCTCCTTCTCACCATCACTACCACCTCCACCACCACCTCCACCTCAACCACCACCACCACCCTCATCATTTTCACGTATGACGCCTGATCCATGCATAGCTGCTGGTGGTATCAGACTTGGCGGGATGGTACATCAGGTAGCATAGCGTGTGACGCATTCAAGATAGCACAGCTGGGAGTTGGCTCGATTGCGACTCATTTGTACTCCCCGCCGCGTACCATCAAGCAACTTTAGTATTGGATTTGTTCGGATGGAACTTGGCAAGGAACATGATTCCACTGCAGCTTTAAAACGAATTAGTCATGTACTATGTCGCTCCACCGAATTGGTTTTGCAAAATAAAAATAAAAACTACGTTGCGTGGCCAGCGGCAATGTTACACTGCGTTGAAATAGGCACAGTACATGTACCTCATTCACGTTCGGTGTCACCTGTATTGTCACTCACAGTCACTCTGCTGCCATTCCCAACATGTTTTGAGTGTTTTGGCAGCAGGTCACAGCGTTCCTACCTGCACTACACCGTGGATATAGACGTCAAGTGGATACTTCATCTGTGCTTGTTACAAGCCACGTTTTGAAGAGCACCTTCTACTTGAATACTAGTAGTACGGACACTTCGATTTTAGTGCATGCCATTAGTTGTTGGAGTGTTTGGTGAACACGACCAGTATGTACTGAAGTAGATACATGTACAGTATGGTTTGGGTCCCTGCTGCGACTGCAAGTGTTGCTCTTAGACCAAGCGTCAGGTAGGACACAGCGTGCTGCACACCAGCAAAACAACAGAGACCAATGGTATTATCCTCTGTGAGTGCAACTCCGAGATTGTATTCAATCGTTTGAACCAGGGACCCTCGCCTGCAGCCAGTGATACTCTACTACTAAGCTATGGCGTAGTCGTCATCCAAGCAGTGACCGTTCAACATCAAAGTTTTGAGTTCAGGAACACTTTAAAATAGACTTAATGTTGGATGCAGCTAATGGGGTCGTTTTCGGCACTTGTGCCAGTGGTTGTGAGACTTATCCACTCACCCCCACCGTTAGGCGCTGCATCTGCCTCTAGGATTTATCGGGTGTTAGCGGCCGTCGTTAGTTCCCTTCGGGAACGGACACGATAATTTACTTTTTACTTTTTTTTTTAATCTATAAAGTTTGAAATGTACACAACCTGCAGACAGAACTGTTTCGTCCTTTGCGGATTCATCAGCGCAGCACAGAGATAATGAGGCCGAACCTGATATGCTGTTGTTGTTGATTTTTATTTTACTTCGCAAGGCCAAACGGGCATAGCAATGAAAAATAAATTTTCCAAAGCCAGATTTAAACCCGGCCCGAACGTACCTTGCCAGAGTGCTCAAACTGACAAGTCAGTGAGTTCTGCATAACGCAAGCAGCAAAGGCACTATCCCACACGAGAGCGCTCATCTGCTACAAGAGCAGGAGCGAAATTTTACTATTGTACATTGTACATAATGATGATGCCCAGTATTCATGGGTGATGCGTTGCGTGTCACATGCACACCATCAGGCTAATCCAATAACTTGTCGCTAAGACCATGACTTATTTGATTGTAGATTTGGCTGATCGATGTCACTTGCCAGAAAGTTCATAATAGATTCCGGTGCCATCATCCTTGACATCCGTAAATAACTCAGTGTTATTCTTTTCGCCACTTACATGTAACTTCCGGCAGAGAGTCGATGCCAACACGGTTTTTCAGTATTCTGCCATCCATGTACATGGGGTTTTCTGAATTTCACTGCATTTCGAGTAAAATGTGCCAATTTTTCGACCAGTACCAGCCAAGGCGTATTCCCTATTCGTTGAACTGACCGTATTGTGAAAAACACACACTAGTAGTAACGGAACTGGCAAGTGCCTATGGTGAACTCACCATAGTAACACATTGCAGGTTAAATCTCAGAAACCTCTACCCGGCGGGCATGGTGACTCACGATTTTGTGGACAAAAAAAATGGAAAGCACGGTAAATCCTAGCGGCAGATGCAGCGCCTAACGGTGGGGCTGAGTGGATAAGTCTCACAACTACTGGCAGAAGTGCCGAGAAATCCGATTAGCTGCATCCATGTACCCCTTGTGCTTTAGGGTTTACCGGGTGTTAGCGGCCGTCGTGAGTTCCCTTCCGGAACGGACATTATAATTTACTCCTTTTTTTTTCGGGAAAGCCCGAAGAAACCATTGTGTGTGTAGTGGTCCTGAGCCCCCTCCCGCCTCCCTCTTCCTCCGCTGTCCCCGAGCACTTCTGACCTGTTTGAGAGGCATTATGTCCTGAGCGCCCGCTTTCCCCCCCCACATCCCTCTGCAGGCGCTAGGAGATCCTGGAGAGCATTGCTGGTAGAATGCCACAACCTTCAATCTCCTTGAAATGTACAAGTATTCATACATGTAGTTCTTTACATACCTTCTCTTGCTTTACATTGTACATTGTATGCGCAGGACCAACATTAGGCCCTCCAGTTTTTGCGGATCACATGCCAGCGTACACCGCCATGACTAGCAACAGCACCAGCCGAAGAAGCAGCAGCAGCAGCAGCAGCAGCATGGCCGCCAATGCCGCCAGCAGCAACACCATCGGAGACCAGCAGGGCTTGACCAGCGTCACAGTACCTATGTCCAGCTCCAGAACCAGCGACTTCAGACTCGGACACGACGTTCCCCGGCACGAGGGCGACGTCTCCGGTCGCATTCCGTCCTTTTGGGAGTCGGGCGGAAATCCGGGAATTCCCCTCTCCGCTACCAGCTGGCCTTCGGACGCCATCACTGCAGAATACATTGCTGACTCGCCGATGAGCTTGAACGGAATTGATATGCTGAGTCACAACAAGGAAGCTCACAATGGGGTGTCAATCATCCCAATGTCGTCTACAAACGCTCTTGGTGGTGGTAACCCTGACAACGGTAGCTATGGAGACATGTCCCTCTTCGCCTGCGACTTTATGCGAACGCCATCACAGGCGCTCCCGGGCCTGGCATGGGCGCCACCGACTCCACCCGAGCCGATTTACACACCCAGTTCCGGCTCCGGCGCCGACTGGGATCTGGAGTCCATAATCAGCGCAGGTCCGAACGTCCAAGGTGCGATCGACCCCGGAGTACCAGCTCCGATCGAGGATTGCTCACTTCCATCTTCGTGCCGCTTGCGTCTGGCCAGGAAGATTTGCCAGAACGCAAGTATGGTGTCATCTTCCCTGGACACTACCCAAGGCCAGTGATTCAGGGATCCAGGGATCCAGTGATCCAGGGATCCAGTGATCCAGGGATCCAGTGTTCCAGTGATCCAGGGATCCAGGGATCCAGGGATCCAGTGTTCCAGTGATCCAGTGTGATCATCACTCACCGGATTACCAGCAGAACCAGCCATGTACACTGTACATGTATGCCCCTGTTTTCAATAAACTTGCCCTCATTTTTTTTCCCGATGCGTGAAGTAGGCGAGGATGCCAAGACCATTGGCTTCCAGTGCCCCATCGCCACACCTTTCCAGCACCATTTATTAACTTTAAAGGTATTGTTAGTGCGTTGTTTTTGTCATTTCTTCCTTTTTTTTAACCAATTGGGTGCGTGGTTTCCAGTAAAAACACATACTTCAGTATATGTATGTCGTCTCCCGATCACGTGCCGAAGGGTGTTTTCCACTAATGCAAAGCATTAGATGCTTTATCATCCAATATTTCTCTCTCTCTCTCTTTCTCCCACTATCTATACTCGCGTGACATGCACCTCCAGAAGGAGATGCTGGCAGTGATGAAAGTGAGGACAGCGCTCCTGTTGCAGGCAAGCACAATTACACGGACAAGCATGATACACGTTATACGATAGAAAAGAATGGGCATAGTAACAGCAATGATCTGTATCCTGAGCCCCTACAGAGCTCGGATACTGCTTAGCTAGCCGTACAGACAATTGTCGTGCATCCGTACTTGGTATTAAGTGCAATGTTTGTGCAGCAGCTTTCTTGTCCATTCTTATTGCCAGTATGTATTGGAGAGCTTTTCGTCCAGTGGATGGAACACAATTTTGCTTGCTTCATTCGCTTCAGTTCTCTATGAGCAGAGGACACATGTATAACCTCTGGGGCTGCTATTTGCTCAGACGCATATACATTCACACCAATGTCCTTATTCTCCTGCTAAGACCGAAAAGCGAAAATGTGTAGCTAATTCTTCGAATTCCAGTGTCTAAGATCGCGTACTTTTGATAAGAGATGGCACGCAGTCGAGTGGTCCGTTTGCCTTCTTTCGATCGTTATGGTATCCTCGCGTCCTAATTCAGGTCATGGTTAAGGTTGAGTTCGTTTTTAGTAGAGTAGAGTCATTCTACCGATAGAGGTAAGTGCATGAACGCTGTTTTACCGGATTGTGTAGGTTTTCACGATATGTACGTGAAATATATTCTTCTCTATGAAGTTGTGAGCAACTCCTTGATCTTACCGGAAATCCCGTACCTCTACCAACTTCTACCGGTCTCCACATACACACGTCTAGGCAGAGGATGGATAATTCTTAAAGGAAGTGCAATCTCCTCATGCAACGTGACCAACTGCAACTCCAAATTCATCATACACCTACACCTAGGTTCACATGCCACGGCCGCACAACCTTGTCGTGGCTATATTCACGAGGTTGACTTTCACTTTGTGTAGGTCATAAGCTACATGTTTGCACAGTGCCCGTCCATAGAATAATAATTATAGAGATCGATATATTTTCACAAAGACGACACGAAAGATTGTGGTTTGACCATTCTGCACGATTTGGTTCGGCAGCGTCAGACAAGGGAGACTATTGTGCGATAGAGGCATGCGCACCATGATATCGGTGCAGAGCAAGATGCAGACAACGGCACGGAGTCTGGTTTCAGGATCCATGGCTGCACTACAAGCTCAAACCTCCCTCAATCTTTCAAACAAGCACCCTGGTTCCAATGTGGCAATGAAACTCCTCTCCCAGTACAGTACCAAAACTCTGCTAATTGCCACGTACATGTTCAACAGAAAAATCGAATTCAAAAAATGAGTGTGAAGACAAAACCTCTACAGCACGCAAAAAATCAGCGAATTTCATGGATCGATGTGACCTACCGCTTCATTCAGCACAAGCCACGTTCAGCACAAGCTGGAAACGGCTTGTTTGGTGTGACCAAGGCCTTATACCCACAAAATCCTCGTACTATGCTTTGGCACACGGGGATACATATTCACTTTGTTGTACTTATGGAGCCTCAAAGTTCGGGAAATTGAGCGTTTTTCGTACTTACAAGTGGCCATAAGTACAACAAAATACATCGAGTGTCCCCGTAACAAGGTGTCCATGCATGCTATAGATCAACAAGGAAATGAGAAAACATTGCTTCTTCTATTCATTAATTGACGTCTTTTGTTTTCATTGCCAAATAAGTTTGAGTTACCTTTGAAAATCATCATGTTCAACTGCCTTCGTAATCGTCATACTGGTCCAACGGATGTCAACCTTACCCTGCGAATTATCAGATCATCTCTCCCGTAGCTCCACCTCTCCTTCAATCATGACCGAACACCAACTACTTCATGCATACCTCAATTTTTTAATTATTAGAGCAATGTCCATAGCCTGCACAGTCGAGTCATGGCTGCTAAAATCCAGAGGTCATGACTTCACATCATGCATAATGTACATGTATACACAGTTTTGCGGACTGCCCGTCACTATCTCGTCCGCCCCGGGATACCTGATAAAAGCTGATTCACTCGCATCTTCTGCTGCAAGGTACTGCATCAGTGTGACAAAGAACTTTGAAGAAGACGAGTTCGAGCATACAATAATTATTGCCATTATGTCTACCCTGCTTTCCATAGAGAACACTATCTGCACGACCTCCGAACCCAGGCCATCTGCACAGATCAGGTGTATTGTAGACCTACACAATTGTGTAGCCTACATACTGTATAACATGTCATTTTCGGTGTCACTTTAATTTCGGTGATTTTGGTAGAGAAGACAGGCACCTAAATATTAAATTACACCCAAAAGGCACTAGAGTTATGCACTGCAAGTGAAGGAAAGCTTGTCACCTACCGTAATTCTACATCCCACCTGAACCCTGGCAGGTACCTGGCACCGAACTTTTGATGCACCCAAAATTACATGTCTACAGTCCTAGAACTGTGGCACAATCATGTACATAATTTAATAGTTATGCTCACTGAAATCCGACCCCAAGTGCAAAGCTGGCGCCCTGGACCAGTTGCGATTACATCATTGTACGTGTACATGTGTACGTCCAGCCGCATTCGGGCCACTTCCAGGGCGTCAGGGGCCGTGCCAGTTGAGGGCGCCAGCTTTGCACTTTGGGTCGGATTTCAGTGAGCGCAACTAGTTATGCTCCTACCTCCGAAAGGATGCAAAATTATGCTCCAAATTTCAACCACCAAATTATGCCAAAAATTATGCCGGCATCATCCACCGGTACGCGGTGCCTACTTGCAGCTCGCTCCCGCCAGAAAATTTCCTCGGATCGATAATGTTTCGTTGTTCCATAGCATCCAAATACGTACAGCACTCCTCCGAAATCGAGCATGAAATTTTGTTGCAATAAATTGGCAGGCCAGATTAGGGGAATTGAAAACGTGCATCGTGCAGACTATTCTGTGTGCGGGTGTGTGTGAGTTGGCGGTGTGGGGGGGGGGGGGGAAGGCTAGGGAAGAAGGAGGGAGGTAATATGAAATGATAGATCATAGCATCTTTTTAACTTCTAAAGTGAAATACATCGCTCTTTTATAATTGAACTTCTGGTAGTTTGGGGAGGGGATAGAGGTTGCGATTATCTCATAATGTGATGATTCTGATCACAAACGTGCCTCTGTACGTGTCGGCACATGACAGAGGATAAACACAGACCAGCAATCAATGCATTTGCAACATCTGAATTAAGATGATGATCCACCACCTCGTCGGAACTTGCGACCGCGGTTATACTTGCGACCTCCGTGCGACTTGTGACCGCGGTTGTACTTGCGACCACGGTTATGCTTGCGACCTCCGTGAGACTTGCGACCCTTGCGCGACTTGCGATTGCGCCTGTTTCGGTTTCGGCGGCCACCGCTGCTGCTGCCACTGCTGCTGCCGCTGCTGCTGCCGCTGCTGCTGCCGCTGCTGCTGCCGCTGGAACTTGAGCCAGCAGGGAAGATTCGTGTGCGTACGGGGTAGCTTGGATAGCTCGGGTAGTGTGTATGGTATCCGACATCACCGTGACCGTGTCCGTGACCATGTCCGTGACCATGTCCATGATAGGATTTGTAGTGACGGAGCCTTTTGCCGCGACCGCCATTTCTTGCGTGCTTGCCCGAGAAGTATTCGTTCTCGTCCTGCTCCTCGTTGATATTGAACGCCTCCACTGCACCGTTGGATTCCATTTCCAGGTTGTTCTCGTCGTAGTCGAACTCATCATCGTCAGCCACCTCATCTTCATCACTACTGCTACTACTACTACTACTACTGCTGCTATCATCATCATCCGTGCCTTCATCCTCGTATCCGTCCATGTCCTCATCTAATGCCAAGTCATCGTCATTGTCATCGTCGGCCTCCAGAGCATCCTCTCGGTCGGCGTCTGCGTCCTGTGTGACGTCATCGCCAAAGACCTCGCTAAGACTCGCCTGCATACATACAGTGGAACACATGCAGGTAGATGTAAATGACCATCCTTTGAATACGATGTAGCGTTGAAAATGCAAACTTGTTCTTTATTACTACTATGAGAATGACCCAAAGGCAGTATGCCTATCGTGCTACTAATGCTAGGGGTTCGTTTGATTGAAAGGGCAGTATTAGTGTGTACAACCACAGGCAGGACTTGGGGAGGAGAGAAACGTGAATGTCTCTATTACCCCCCCCCCCCCCCCCCCCCACCTCCCTCGATATACCCACTCTATTTCGCCTTGGGAAAAATGCTCCTCTGGAAAAGCCCTAACTACAAGACTCACCTCTGCGTCCGGAACAGCTGCGCTGTGTGCGTTCAGAATGAACGTACCGGCCAGCAAGAAGGCCAAAAGCACCACCGCAGCCTTCATCCTAGAATCAAGAATCGAACAGTGCAGAACACATACCGGTACTGTTAATGGCGGCTAAGAAAACACAGGGTCATGCAAACTGTGCCTTTTCTCAGTTAAAGTAAAATACGTACAGTTCTTACGGTTCCCTAGTAAGGAACTTCTTTTAAATGCTGTGCGAATCGCAGCGGCAGAGCGCAAAGGTGATTTAGTTATTTTGCTCAAATAAAAATGTTTTAATAAACTGTTTATGGACAGCCAGCATCACTAGCCACAGACCCACGCGAGCCACTTCGGTTTTCCTTTCCTCTTGCGGTCACTTGCTTCTTCTATCACTTCAACCAGTCAGCATTATTGTATTAATCACCTTAATTAATAGCCAGTGAGGAGGCCAAAGTCAAACTCCGTTCACTCAAAGCACAAGAGCACTATTACAGGTAGTAATTTATCTACTTACACCTAACACTTACTTGAAGTTGTCGTAAGCTTGAAAGAACTCTTTGGCAATACCTCGGGGCTAGAACTGGATATTCGATGGCAAGTAGTCAGCTGAGTGATGAACTCCCTTCACGTTAGATCGGACGTTTTATAGGCCTTCTCGCCTCGTCGCAAGCGGTCGCAAGGAAGCTCAGATGCATGGCCTTTTGCCGGACCGGAATGTCGCACAGCCAGCCAGAGAAACGAACTGAGTGATCCGTAAACAACGCCATTGCGTTCACTAGCTGCGGGCACTCGGCAACAATCGGCAGCAAGGCGCAAGCTGTGTTGTCTTGCCAGTGCGGGTCATTCCTCGATCTTTGCCATTAGTCTAGTAGTAGGCAGCCAGCACGTTGTTTATGACAGAGGATATTTCATCTGAGTCTCCGGCTTCCCAGCGGTAGCCACAAATAGAGTCTGACTTTCCCACGGGCCGGTCACTGTGGGAAGTCAAGCAAATGTTCGTCATTTCTCCGGGTATGTGCTTCTGTGCAATTCACGAATTCAGGGCTATCCATGTATGTGTACACTGTGTAACAGCAATCGTGTTGATTGACATGATGATTAGTTAGAAGAAAAAAAGCATTTGTTTGAATGCCTTGTGACGCGGAGTTATTTTGTATTGCAAAGTCAGTATTGCCGGTGATGCCGATGTCCGACACAGTCTGTGAGCGCGAGCCACACTGTGAGAATCACCCGCATGGCGCTTCCTGCCAACTCAATGCCATACTAGATACATGTTATTGGCTCAACATCCGAGTTTCAAATTATTATTATTATTACAATACGAATTAAGAGTACCGTATATGTCTCCATTACTAGCACAGTCTCTAATACTAGCACACTGTGAGCACCTTTCGAAACATTATAAGCACAGTCTCTATTATTAGCACGGTCTTGGTGGAAATCAATGCTGCATGCATGATATCTAGCATGTATTTCTTCTTGCTCTGAATGGATTGTATTGGTTGAAAAATATAAGCACGGTCTCCAATATAAGCACGGGGTAGAGGGGGGTTGAAAAAATATAAGCACAGCGCTTATAATAGAGAATATACGGTAACTGTCCGCCACTGTCACTAGATACTATATTATACAGTCAGAAAGTGCAACAACTAGGTACAAAACTGACAGAGCACTGAGACACTCCACGACCTGACACCTACAATGTAGCTTCAACACACAACAGCCTTCCAACTCGGCAGGTTCAAGGTTAACTTTGTTGCACTTTCTAACTGTATACATGTAATTACAGTAATGAACAGGTACTCTTAACTCGTATCCATATGACTGTACTTTTCGTTTCTACATCACTAATAACACTCTATATTTCAGGATAATCCAAAGGCTAACGCCTATCGGGGAATCTCCTATTTCTGCATACTATTATTATTCATTTTATTATCAAATTGTTGATAGGGCAACATGTACAATGAGCATTGTAGTTTGTCGAAAGAGAAAGTGTGCAAAGTGAGTTCGGAAAGGAAAGATGCACTAATAAAGGTACCTACAATGCTACACGTACCTAGTAATAGTAGTAGTAGAATTCAGTGGCCTACACGGTATTAAAATGTGTTATAATTGTCTGATTGTTTCTTTGTATGCGTTGCTTGCTTACTTGTAGTTTGTCTCCTGCAACCATGTTTCAACATTGTTTGTGCTTACGTTTGGTGATTTTGTTGCAGCGAGACCGCCAACTGCCATCTTCTCAGATTTGTGTTGGGTTTTAGTTCCCGTTATGGCAACAAAGAATTGGATTGAGTCTTATTCTTCAGATTCTTGGCGTTTCGTTCATTTTTTGTACTGAGATTTTGTGTCATAATATTATAATGCTTTGCCCGTACAAGAGGCTTTGACTTTTTAGTAGTAGTAGAATTTATTATGTTTACTAGGGAACTCCCAACAGGCGTTGCCTTTTTACTGGGAACCCTAGGAATGACTTAGTGCTTGTGACAAATGCAGAAAGGGGCTTAGCTTGACGACATCCAGGTGGAAGCATGTTCCATCTATATGTCCTACACGCTGCAGCTGTAGCCGATACGTCACCAATGCTTGAAAACCCCGAGTTTCTACAACTGTATGGTTTTTACGGTTTTGTTCGGCACCTGGCGACCACCGAAACTAAGGCGTCCAGGGATCAGTTCAAAGTAACAATTGGCTCTGCGCAAAGTGCACAGCTCCATTGAAGTTTCCCTTCACGGGACTGGTAAAGTCAGCAAAGAGGCCCTTTTACACACGTACGCATATTATTGAAAGCTCACGCGTTTGAAGTGCTTTAAAGGCATGTCGCTGCGAGGAAAGCTTTGCCGGGTTGCCCACGGAGTAGCACTGGGCAGACTCAACATTCCGAACCATGCACTTGTTTACAGCGAAAGCAACCCCACAAGTCATGGTAGCGAATGTGCCCTTCGCCCTTTACCGGTACCGCGGTATGCACACCGTACATGTAACTCCCGGCTAGGCTATAGGCTGGACAGCGAATAGACCATTTTTGGGTAAAAATCCTTCACTTTCCCTGGCCACGTGACCAACAACACCGTGTACATGCACTGATGTACAGTGCTGGCAACTGAAATCCGACCCCCTAGCGTCTCGTACGAATCGCTAACTCGGCTAGTGCACCGCTAGGAGGGGTAGGATTTCAGTTGCCAGCACTGTAGTAGTAATCTGGACTGAGTGATCGGTGCCGCATGTGCCGGCGCGGTGCATGCCAAGCAACTCATCGTGACGTCGCTCACATGCATGCATTACAGTCATATAGACTACAGTACTGCACCAGTTGGCCATATTTGAAGGGTCCTTCAGACCGTAGATGTAAATGTAAGGGCGGTGGACGCATAGACACTTAAAAAGTCATTGTGCATACATGTAACTGCAGCTTGGATGAGTTGTCTTCCATACTATAAGTTCAAAGCTGCCCTCAGGAAATTTACAGCTGACTATGCTTATGCAATCAACGGAATTCCGCCACCTTGCAGTTGATTTTCCCCATTTCTCTCCTCATCAATCCCTACTTCTCTTTGTACATACATCTACATCTACTATTCTTTCAATTAAATGAACCCCTCGATAGGCACATTGCCTTTGGGTCATTTCATAATAATAATAATAATAATAATAATAATAATAATAATAATAATAATACGCTCCAGTATTAATCCAATGGCAATGTGCATGATCGGTCCCACGCCGTACGCTCAGTCCATACTTGCTTCTTTTCCTTTTCTTTCCGACTTCGTATTCTTTTCTTTGCTAGCCACGCGTGGCGGTATCCTACAGTCTGACCACGTGGACGGCGTGTACAAATCCGATCATTCGCAGCTGGGGAAAGCTCAGTCCGCAGCATGGCGCAAGTAACCGGCCATTCACCGGGTACAGCACTTCACCCTGGTCCGCAGTTGCCAGTACGTTTACTGGCACATGTACACGGAGAATGCGTGCTTACGGATTTACATGACAGTACTCGTACTTTATACGAGTTTTGTTCGTCTTTGGAACAACAATGATGATCTTTCTAGACCTTTGTGTTGACGTTTTGTGGAACAGTTGGGAAAAATACTCATTGTGTTTATTTTGCCCTTAAAAGAGGCTATAAGACACGGAGAATGCCTGCTTACTGAAGTACTTTATACGAGTTTTGTTCGTCTTTGGGACAACAATGATACTTGTCGTACTAACACGTAACCAGGTACATGTACATGTACCGGTACATGTAAATTCTGAGAGTTCCTTGAACTCTTTCCTTGAAACGAGATTCGCCACCGCAGGAGCATTGCTGTGGAACAGTTTGCCTAGAGAGGTGCGCACCGTATCCAGATGGCAAGATTTTAAGCTAGCCTGCCTTCCTTATGTATGCCTGGAATAGGTTGTGTTTCGTCAGGTTTTGACATGTTCCTTTTCTTCTCAGTATTCTCGCTCGCATAGTACTTCACTTCTATGATAATATTGCCTATGCTGTTGCTCATTAGGATTTTGGCAAATTCTATATATCCTTCGCTTTCATATAACTGGGCCAGGAACCCGTTTGAACTTGCGAAGTAAATAAAATCAATCAATCAATCAACTGGATCCAGACTTCCAGAGGCAGAGCGGGTAATGTAATGTACAGTGCTGGGAACTGAAATCCGACCACTGAGCGGTGCGTTCACATTCTAGCCGTCTCTATCTCGTAGTGTTACAACACTGTGTTGGGTCTTTGCGATGTGAGAGTACCGCTCAGGGGTCGGATTTCAGTTGTCAACACTGTAGCATGCACGAGTGAGTGACGGGGGAGAGGAGAAAGGGAGGGGGGGGGGGGGAGAAGAGGAGAAAGGGAGGTGAGGGGAGAAGAGGAGAAAAAAAATTATATGGATCCAAGAAGAGGAGAAAGGGAGGTGAGGGTAGAAGACCACATAAAAAGACGGTCACGTGGGAAATGAGTGCTTGACTGATTCCCGTACTGTCAGTATACTGTCAGGAGGCGACGAAAGCAGAAGGAAGGCTTTGTTTGTTTATTGTGTTAAAGGTTAAACTTCATCCTTTCAGTATCCCATGGGCCACTCTGACCGAAGAGGCAAAAGGTTCTTTTCTGTGTCGGTCACAAATAGCTCTGAAGCTGTTGGACCTGGATGTTTAATCAACAGTGGCAACAGGAGGGCGATGCTCCTCTCATCTCCCTTGTCGCCGTTGCTTTCCCAACGGACACAGGTACCCGAACCAAGATTGATCTTCTGAGAGTGAGAACATGCTTATCTCAAACTGGGAATCAAATCCGTAATCTCCTTTTGGACGGCCAATGCATGCGCTAGCCATTTACCAGCCCCCCCCCCCCCCCCCCCACCCACACACCCACATCTACCCCAGCAGGTACACACACATACACATCATCCATAATACTGGTGCTAGTACAAGCGTCTGAAACAATACCAAAGGTTCACGCAAAGAAGGTTCTTTAGGAATGAATGGATGATAATGGATACAAGTGGTAAGTCTCTCATTAGCCCTTTTAAATTTTGTTTTGGCTCGTGTCTTGGCCACTGGTGTTATTGGGCTCTCTTTGCTGCGCGGTCATGAAGCACATCTGCCTGGCGTTGAGTGAAGGGTGCGAATGCTTGCTCATCTACACCGGTAGTGCCCGTGAAGTGCGCTCGGGATTTTCCCTCCCCACTGGACTGGAGAACCCGCACGTAGTCGACGGTATGAAGGATCGGGAAATGCGTGTCCTGGTTGGGTGGACCTGCCCAACCTCCCCCCAGGGCCGAGTTGATTATGATGTACATAGGCACCTGCGGAACGCCGTCCTTGTCCCGGTCGTTGGGATATGTCGAGACGTACTTGACACCGTCCACGTAGTACGTGAGCGACTCGGAGCTCCACTCGATGGCATACTCGTGAAACGTGGTGTTGTACTGGTCGAGGCTGAGATACGGCAGAACACCTGTAGTCGACATGTGCGGGGACGAGCACTGATGCGTCTCTGGGAACATTGCGTTGTAGTGCAGCGAACCATGCACAACGCCGTCTCCGTTGATCATTTCCATGATGTCCACCTCGCCGGGCCCGGGCCAGCACAACTTCTCGTGCCCTCGGCCCGGCATCAGCCAGTGGGCCGGCCAGAAACCGGGCTGCTTGCCCGGCAGGTTGGCGCGGACGCAGAACCGGCCGTAGAGCGCCTCGAACTTACCGGACGTGTCGATCCAGGCCGAAGTGTAGTTCTTGTTCAGGAACTTCTCCTTTTTGGTCGAGATCACAAGCTTTCCGTCCTGTATCCGTGCGTTGCCTGGGACGTAGCTCTGCGCCTCGTTCTCGTGGCCCGCCGTGTAGTTTGAGTAGCGGCCAGTCCAGAGCGACGCATTCAGCTCTCCGCCGGCGAAGTTCTCGTCCACAACCACCTTCCAGCCACCCAGGCGTAGGTCTGCATCGCTCAGATCACACAGCGAGGATAGTCCAAGGCTGCACGGAGCGAGAATCAACACTGACACCACAACCAGCGTGTGCATAACGTACGGCCGTTCGATGTACGTGTATCTCGGTTTGAATGAAGCAGCTCCTTGGAGACTTGCCATGCTGACGACCTCCAGCGCGCGGACTGTACAGAACAATAATTACCCTTGCTTGCTGGTTAGGAAAGTGGGAATACCGTAGATTCACAATCCCAGTCCTTTCTCCTTTCCGTCTCGAACAGGACCTGAAGCGTGTTTTGGGAGAGATATTACACGTACAATACAAGGTGAATCTAATACAATCATACCATGATTGTACTGTACATGTACATGACTGTTTAACCTACAGTGCCGAACATTTGAATCAGTGACTTGATATGGTGCCCACGTGATATGTCCCCAACTCTTCTAGACTTAGACTAGAGTCAGGCGCTATAGCCCCTGAGGAATCTTCAGGTCTTTTGGGGTGTGATGTGAACGTCGATCTCAAGACTATTTGTTGGGAGAGAGTCAAGTGCACTACACAGCTCGCTTCGCACCTACATGTACGTGTGCGCCCCTTTTGCTTTCCATTATGGTCTTTTATTGTTGTTGTTGTTGTTTGAAATGTTTTATTCTCACAATGGCCTGGGGCCAATAAGAGAAGTTGTTGTTTTTGAATTCTTTATTCTCACGGTGGAACCATCGCCAATAAGAGATTAATTTATGAGAAGGTGGGATTGTGGGTTAAACAGTTGGAAAGTGATTTACATCACTTTGAACTTTACAAGTATGGGAGAGGGTGAGCGCTGCAGGAGCAGATTGAGCTGTTGTTGTTGTTGTTGTTGTTGTTGTTGTTGTTGTTGTTGTTGTTGCTGCTGCTGCTGCTTCTGTTTTTGTTGATGCTATTGGTGTTGTACCTCTGTATAGCAACTTCCCCATGTCCCACCCCAGTTAATTTGAGACGACGTACTCAGTCCAGCTATGCTGGCTTTTATTAATTAAAGAATTAAATTATAGTGGATTAAAGGAGGATGCAATTGTTACTGTACACGTGTACGTGTGTGCTGCTACACGCGACCACGAGAGAACGCATGAAAAACATGTGCAGCACCCGTGCAAACGTGTACTGCTGCACAAATTTTCTTAATCTTATGTTATAACCAGGGAGTCGTAAAATACTGGTATTTTACGACTCCCTGGTTATAACTGTGAGAGAATGCATGATGATCACGTGTGCAGCACACGTGATCATCACGCAAGTCAGAATGCGAGATGTACCATAGTACAGTACACAGTATAATTATAGCACTGCATCCTCTTACATATAGGAAGATACAACGCTTGCAGTCACTTGAGATCCAGCCCAGGTGACGGGGTGCGGCCATACCAGCTGAACTGGAGCCACGCACCAGATCCTATCCTTGCATGCCTGTCAACCTTATAAATAATGTTGAGCTATCATTGTGTGTTAGGATTGAGTGAAATGGGATTATAGGCGTCCGTGCCTAACCTGATACAGTATTGATTCATTTTGCTGGAGCTAGTGCAGACTCGGGCCCGTTTGTGAAAGAGAGCAGGCAGTCCAAGGTCTGCATCGCTGGGGTCTTCAGGACACACCATTCCTTGTTGTAAGTGGCGTATTTTGGCCGTTAGAATGGAGGGTAGAACAGGATTCCTGGCTCTGGTTGTACTAGTACTAGTAGTGTTGGCCTCGGCGTGGATGCCCACTGCATCCGCACGCTACAATCGAACCGTCACCTATACCGGTCAGAAGGTCTTGGCTTGCCGCGTGAACAGCACGGAGGAGGTGCGCCAGCTGCTGCTCGATCCCGACCTGGATGTGTGGCGGCGCTCCGCCGATGGCAGACTGTTGGAGGTCAGGACACTGACTGCGCAGGCGGGCGTAGCGCTGAGCTCAAACAAGGACTGCCAGGAGACGATCAGTGATGTGAATGCCTGGCTAGAACCGCTAGAGGCCAGCCTTCGCGGCCGGCGTCTGGGCAGCAGCGCTATGCGACAGGAGTTCTTCGAAGACTATCATACCTATGACGAGATTATCGGCTTCTATACCAGTCTGGCTGCAGAGTATCCGAGTCTTGTCACCATGGAACCTAGCATTGGTGAGTCCATTGAGCTGCGCCCCATGCCCGCAGTGCGCATTACCGCGGCGGCAAATCCCCAGAACGTGCCCCGGTTTCTCATGACGTGTCAGATCCATGCCCGGGAGTGGGTCAGCAGCTCCACGTGCGCTTTCATGGCCGATCAGCTCGTGCGCAATTATGAGCAGGATAGTCGAGTGCGCGCGTTGCTCGAGGCGTCCGAGGTGATCTTCATCCCGTTCGTTAACCCCGACGGCTACGCGTACACCTGGTCAAACGATCGGCTGTGGCGCAAGAACAGACGCGTCAACACCAACAGTGCATGCCGCGGCGTGGACCTAAACCGTAACTTCAACATCCGCTGGGCTGAGCCCGGCGGCGGCAGCTCCGGGAACCCTTGCTCAGAGACCTACCACGGCACGGCGGCGGAATCAGAACCTGAACTCTTGCACTTGGCGAACTTTTTCCGCGCTAACCCGAGAATCGTTGGCGGCATTGACTATCACTCATACTCACAACTGATCCTGCGCCCCTGGGGATTCACACTGGATCCGCCACCGCACGAGCAGCAGCTGAAGGCTGTGGGCGATCAAATGCAGGCCGTGATCCGATCGGTACACAACCAACGCTATGTGTCCCAGCCCGGAATGGACCTCTACCCGACTGTGGGGACAAGCAGCGACTGGTATTTCTCCGACGATGCCAGCCAGAGTAAGTAGAAGTCAGAATTTCTCTATTTCATCTCTCTTATTCCAAGCCTCTGTCCCGATCTTTCAATTTCTCTGCATCACCCTCTTTCTCCCTCCCTCTCTCTCTATGTATCTCTCTCTGTCTGTGTGTGTATCTGTCTCCGTCTCTCTCGCTCCCTCCGTCTCGCTCTATCTCTGTCTCTCTATCTCTGTCTCTCTAGCTCTATCTCTGTGTCGCTCTGTTTCTGTCTCTGTCACTGTCTCTCTATCTCTTTCTCTGTCTCTCTGTCTTTGTCTTTCTCTCTGTTTGTCTGTCTGTCTGTCTCTTTCTCACTCTCTCTCCATCATCTCTCTCTCTCTCTCTTTCCTTGTCTATCTTTTCTTTGGGAGAATACAAAAAAAGAAGGATCTCCGAATAGCACATGCCAGCCAACTTCGAACCATGGTTCTCCATCGTGGTTAGCATGCGTTATGTTGTGAGTCGTTCGGACTGCCTGTTCTAAAGCATTGTTGTCCCCGACAACTTGAATACGTGCATGTTTGCAGAATAATTGTTCTGCTCTGATTGTCATAAATCAGTGATTGGAGCATCGCTGGCCTTTAGTATTCATTTCGACCAGTATGGCTGGACTGTATACTTAGTCCTTGAGGGTGAGACATGGGCAAGCTGCCATACAGGTATGCGGGCCCGCCTCTCGGAATCGTTGGCCTAGAGCGGAAGACTCTGGTTCGGGTCCTGGTGGTGACACATTGACAATCTTGTCTTCAGATTTTCCCCGTTCCAGCACTCTCGACTAACTAATACGTTCCAATTATCAAAATTGAATTCGGACCCTGAGCCAAGAGTAAAATGTAAAAACAAATCAGAAAGGACGTATGGGTTACAAAATGTGTCATTGCATGCCTCAGTATTTTGTCAGTTTGGTGCTCGGTATCGCACCTTCGGACTGCTTTTTATCTTGTTGCTCATAACTCACAACCCATGTGTCCTTTCTGACTTTCTTACATTTTCCAATTGTCACGTGCAATTCTTACGTGTTCTTTCCTGCAGGCAATGGTGGTTATCGCTGCGCTGGTTACACCATCGAGCTGCGCGACACCGGACGCTACGGCTTCATTCTGCCGGCAAGCCAAATCATACCAACAGGCCAGGAGAACTACGAAGGCCTGCTCTACTTCATGGCCGAGTTCTTGGAGAACCCTTTGCCATTCCCACTCCCCACTCCTAACTCTACTATTGTTGCCCATGCATGACTTCTATTTGCACGACCTTAATGAGCAACGGTTTCATTCAATAAACTTTTAAATGGACTCGGATGGAGAGCCAAGGATGAATTTATACTTGAAGTAGAAAAGAAAAAGTGCCAAGGAACTACAAGCTACGCTATAATGTCCAGTTTACACGAAGAAAAGAGGACCAAGGAGCTACAAGTTATGCTATATTATCCACTAATACCACCAGTTACTGAACAATCAGCTCATGCGATAACATTGCACGACACTGACCGACGGTACTGACGTTCTACAGCTAACTGGCTAACAGCTCTAGCACATCCTTGGCTCTCCACCCGAGTTTAATAATAGTATTAATTACTAGTGTACATTGTAGCGTAGCTTGTAGTTCCTTGGTCCTTTTTCTTTTCTATAACTTTTTAACCGTTGGTCTTATTTTAATGGTGACTAAAGACCGGTCGCCACCAGTATTGTACTTGTGCTGAGTATTGTATTTTATTATTTTGCTTGGGCATTCCCAACAGACCCTAAGGTCTTCTTACAGGGTGCCCAAACTAGTACTACTGAGCGCTCGTACTATACCCCAGTCTCTAAACGTTCTGTGTATGTGTGCTCGCGCGTCTGTGTGTGTGTGTGTGTGTGCGAGTGTGTTGTGCGCGCGTCTGTTCATAGTCTTGCTTCTAGATCTAGTATACATGCTGTAGTTCTTTCTGAGCTGCGCGATTTCCTTTAGAATACAGTAAAAACCTGTGACTAACGACCACCCCTTGGTGGTGCCAGCAAAAGCGGTCTTTAGTAGCAGGTGACCTCTCATGTTTATTGGCAGTCTTCGGACGGGCCAGGAGATGTTGATATAAATAAATAAATAAATAAATAAGGTGGTCTTTAGTTAGAGGTCTGCACCATGCGACCATATATGGATCTCATTATTATGTACATGTATAGAGCTACCTGAGCTTCTGTGCACGAGCATACGAATTGTGTACATCATGTACTGAAGTACACGAACAACATGTGCATGTCGCCTCCGCCTGCAGACTTGGGGTGCCCAATGGAAGATAAAGTTCGAGCCATCAAAATCTCCGGCAATACTCCTTGACCGCCACAGACCATCCCTGGATGTCCCACAGCTCACATTTGATGGCATGCAGGTGCCTGAGAGCCCTCAGCTCAAGCTGCTAGGAGTGTTATTAATTTTGACAGTACTCTCTCCTTCCGGGCCCACCATCACCTCCGCCAGACCAATTGGCTATGGGCCACTGAAGTCCACCAGCACTGAGAATAACCGGTTGTCTCTATTATTATCATTTTCTGTCTCTCTCTCTCTCTCACTCTTCCTCTCCTGGGAAGCTCCTCATGCTCATTCTCCCTTTCTCTGTCCATTTCCCCTTCCTGATGCGTAGACTAACTGTTGAACCCGAGACCACTAGGTCGGGGGAGGTTGACCTACCTCATCGGCACGCATGCCACGCTCCTCTGTGTTGTCAGTGTTCGCTTGTCCACTTTTGTCTACCTCCCCTTTTATGTTGCTGGCCAGTGCTTTGTAGTAAAAAAAATGTAGGTGTACATGTACATGTACATGTTTCTCCCGGTATTCAAAGAGAGCAGTATCAGTCGCGTTATAATGCCAAGAAACCATGTTCCCACATTGAAATTACATTCTAGTGGATGTCAGGGCAGGTATCGTTGATTTTTAAAGCCCTCGAGCGTAGCCCGAGGGCTACGCTCGAGGGCCTGAATCAACGATACCTGCCCTGGCCGTACATATCTAATTGTGTTTCAGACTACCGTCCAGGGACACGTACAACATACATACACTGCTGGAAACTGAAATCCGACCCCTGAGCGATCAAAAGCCTCTTTTATGGGCAAAATAAGCAAGAATTCTTGTGTCAATAAACTGAATTCTTGTGTCAATAAACTGAATTCTTGTGTCAATAAACTGAATTCTTGTGTCAATAAACTGAATTCTTGTGTCAATAAACTGAATTCTTGTGTCACTAAACTGAATTCTTGTGTCAGTAAACTGAATTCTTGTGTCAATAAACTGAATTCTTGTGTCAATAAACTGAAGTCTTGTGTCAATAAACTGAATTCTTGTGTCAATAAACTGAAGTCTTGTGGTGAAGAAAAATACTACCGGTATACATAAAATGTGTAAGATAAGCTCAACTGAAGATAACGTCACAAGAAGGTGGAGAACCACGGTTACATGAATGTGCCATGCAGCACCTTGACAATCGCCTAGATTGGGACAACCATGTAAACTATGTGGTCAGCAAGGTTGCCAAGAAAATTTGCGCCCCGTGGCGCGCACGCCGAAGCCTATCAAGACGCTCTCGTCAGGTGTATGTGAAGGCGGGCATAACGCCCGACCTGCTTTATGGCTCCTGCTGCTTTTCAGCCGCAATGCGAGAGGGTCAAACTGAAATGGCTGCAAACCGCGCAAAACAGAGCCATTCGCTGTATCGATGGCAACCCGCCCCGGACAGCTGCTCACTACTCACTCCCCGTACCGTGTCAGCGAGATATACGGGCAGAAAGTATTGATCACCATTATTCTGACAGTTCATACACGCCCTCACCAGCCCTGTGCTCGCCCAGCTTCTGACCCGGCACAAGGCACCCCTACCCGTCATCAGCAGTCAAATGGCCTACTAAGCCAGGCAAACGGTAGGCGCTGCGGTCAGTGGAGATTTTCTGTTGCTGGTGCTCTGCTGTGGAACGCTCTCCATGGTGAGGTCCGTATAATTACCCAGCTACCTGAGTTTAAGCATGCATGTGTACCATACGCCTGTAGGGAGTAGTTTCGAGTCACTGCTGATCGCTCTGCTCTCCTTCCCCGTGCAGTTTTGTTTGTTGTTGTTGTTGTGTTTATTTCAATTCGCAAACCAAACGGGCAGATCTGCCCAATGAAAAGGTGGCGAATGCAGATAGAAAGCAGTAATAAATGAAATTGGGGACTGATGTAATTAGGATAGAGGTGGAGAAAAACTAAGCCAGCTGATCATCAAACAGGACGTTTGGTACTCTAGGTACTAAGGGTGTGCGGGATCATGCTGGCGCGGAACTGGCGGAGCGTGGAGATGGCACGTATGTCACTGGGTAAGGTGTTCCACAGCTGGGCGCCCCGGAACGCGAGGCAACCCTTGCCGAACCTGGTGGAAGCTGGCGGTTGGCGCAGACCCATGGTGGAGTGCAACCTAGTTGGGCCAGCTGACGAAGGGACTAGGAGGGCTTGCAGATCAGAACTTGCGTGCCCATTCCGAGACCTCCAGACCAGAACGATGAACTTCTGCCTGAATATCTCGGATACTCTGTAGGTGTCCAATTGCAGCAGGAGGGTACGCGCGGAGGTGTGATGCGAGAGTCCGAAAACCGCCCTTGCCGCCCGATTCTGCATGACTTGTAGCCGATCCAATTGGTTGGCAGTAAGAAGCGGGGAAAACGCATTGGATCCGTACATCAGGTCAGACATGATGATAGCTTTAAAGTAGAGAACTCGGCTCTGATGAGTCAAGCAGCGACGCAACCTCCATAGTGCTCCGATCCTCTGGGCCAGTCGAGCGGTGCAGCGATCAACATGGGGCGTCCATGACAGATCCGAGTCGAGGAGCACTCAGTTCAGTAATCCTCACCTAGTATCACAAATACATCGTATTCTCTCTCTCTCTCTCTCTCTCCCTCTCTCCCCCCGTTTACTCGCAGTTATTAGTATCCTATCCTCTTACTACATGCTTCCATAGCCTTTACTATGTTCTTCCATAGCCACTTCTAGGCTAAGCCTTCGCCATCATTTTATTGGCCGAGTTTGTCGTGTTCCGGTCAAAGTGCAAGTCCCTTGGCTAGCGTCGCTCTACAACTGGGCGAGGTCACAATTAGCCATTGTGCGCACATTCGATACCTTGGCATTGTACTCGACGAACATCTCTCCTCCGGAGAGCACGTTAGGCAATTGGAGCGGAAAGTTGGAAGTAAGTTAGCCACGTTCAGAAAGGTCCGAGATCACATGACGGTAACTGCAAAGCATGCATATTGCATTGTATATTATTTGTTCAATTCAGACAGTACTTGAGTATGGTAACTCATTTGCTCATTGCTTGTCAGTCACTCTTCATGATCGTCTAGTCCGTCTTAGTAATAGAGCTCTACGCATTGTGTTCAGTATGCCTCGTTTTCTGACGTATCCCTTATTAATGCACGTCATCACATTCTCCCTTTGTCTGTGCGCTATCAGTTCAAACTCTATATTTTAGTGTTTCGTGTCCTGAATCAGTTAACTACTACTCTCCTTACTGATTGCTTTCGCCTTTGTTCTACTTCTACTCGTACCAATTCCTGCACTCGCTCTCAGGTATCTTCATCTGTCACTCTACCACGAGCTAAAACTCGTTTCGGACAAGTAACAAGTTTTGTCCACCAATAACGGTTATGAGCAGACTACTGTTCAGTCAAAAATGTGCAAAATTAGCACAAAAACTGACTGATGAGATCCTAACATTCAACGACCTGATGCTTAGCTACATCACGTCTAGAATGCGCAAACCAGCAAGCAGCAAGTTGGAAGGCTGCTGGCTTGCGCATTCTAGACGTGATGCACCTAAGCATCAGGTCGTTGAATGTTAGGTTCTCATCAGTCAGTTTTTGTGCTAATTGCTGCATATTTTTGACTGAACAGTATTCTGCTTGTACCCGTTAGTGTTGGATAAAACGGATAACTTGTAAACTTTTGGTCCTCTTTTTTAATTTTAATCCTTGGCTCTCCATCCGAGTTTAGTAATAATAATAATAAGAAGAAGAAATGGTTTGCTCCCCACACCGGAGCTCGCGCTATTCCGCGGCGGAATAGCGCGAGCTCCGGTGTGGGGAGCAAACCATTTCTTACAAATCATCGCCGAAGTCGCAACCACTACTTCGTAATAATAATAATAATAATAATAATAAAAATAATAATATAACTCGGATGGTGAGCCAATTAAATAATTATGAAAAGAAGAAGGACAAAATGTTACGAGTTATGACTAACTGTCCCCCAACGTAACCAGATCTTATACAGTCAGCGAGTGCGACAAAATGGCACAGAACTGACAAGGAGTACTGAGACATTCGGCGACCTGACACCTATCTCCAACACTTCTCCAAGGCGCAAACCAACAACCTTCCAACTTGGAAGGCTCAGGTTCGGAAAGGTCCAAGAGGGGAAGGAAAGCGCAACGAAGAAAAGCACGAGCTACGCATCACGACAACAAAGAATGCCGAAAGTTACTGGATGATGACTAAACTAGTAAGACTTTGTCGCACTCGCTGACTGTATAAGATCTGGTTACGTTGGTGGACAGTTAGTCATAACTCGTAACATTTTGTCCTTCTTTTCATAATAATAATAATAATAAGGGATTTTCGTGAGAATTCACAATGCCCTCGCGACTAGTTCTACCGCGCCTTTGCCTGCTGACTAATAATAATTCTGTGCTTCTTGTATTTTCCTGTTTCGTAGAACATGACTTATGCTGCAAAATACAATGATTGCATGCTGTTACCAATCTGGAACATTACAGTCGAACCTCTTTAGGACGAACACCAAGG